TCAGATACATCTGTTGGGGAAGTATGTCAGGTTATATCTGTCTGCCATTTGTAGATAAGTATAATGCTCTTTCCCTTCAGGCTATTTGTGTGGGTTTTACTTGCTTTGAGAAGTAATCCTTTTGGGCTAGAGAGACTCGGTTAATGCTGGATATCCCCATGAAATAACCAGTCACCAATTGTACACAAACTTCATCACTTCTGCTGCTCTCACAAAGTATACTGCAGGGATAGATAGGGGAAAGAAGCCTAAAAGTCTTGTTTTAAGACCTTCAATTTATTTGAATGTTTCAAGTTGTTGTTCTTCCTTCATTATGAGAAAATCTTCAGTTTTAGAAAGCTGTTAAGAAACTGATTACCAATGTACATATTTTGGGTAATTTTTGGTAACAAGACAAACTTCATTTTTTGGCTTTATCAGGGGCCTTTTTTGGTTTTAATACCTTTATAAAATTCTGTGTTAGTTGCCAGTATATTTTGGCAATAATCTCTGCCTTTCTGAAGCTTGCTAGAAATAGGATTTGGGAAGCTCTCTTTCTTTATCATGTCATAAACAGGATTAATTTATCTGAACACCCAATTTCTGACTTTTGTTAAAGTTAGATGAATTAGGTGTTTGAAATTTCATCTTGTTCTTATTGCATGAAAGGCAAACAGCTGCAGTTTCACATTCTAAGGGAAAGTAATTTTTTTGTAATCAGAATTGAAGGACAACGGGTACGCAGCAAATAAGTTTAAGAAATAAACATTTTTAATTCTCTTCTCTGAGCCTAGGATCCTTATGCTCAGAGTTCAGTTTCAACTTCTGGATCCGATGTTTCTGTATATGTCTTGGGGTGATTTTATGATGATACTTTATTCCCTGATCATCTGCTTTATGCCCAGAAATGTCTGCAGTAAGAGGAAGCAGGGGCGGAGGTTAGAGCCCGGGAGCGCTGGGCGCGGGCTCTCTTCAATCTCTGCGGTTTTGGTTTTTTTGCGAGCTTGAAGCAAGGCTGGTTTTTTTTCCCTTTGCCTACCCCTAGCCTGGAAGCTGTATTGGGCTTCCTCTCAGCGGCTCTTTGGATTTTTGCTCCCTTGAACAAAAGTTTGGCTTGTTTTTGTTTTGTCTGTCCGGGGGGCCGGCAGGACCGCCCTGAGCCCGAGGCCTCAGAGGAGGAGCTGAGCCAATATGAGCAAGGACATTAAAATCCGCAAACTTCGGCTGCTGCGAGAAGGAGACTCAGCAGAAATTCAACAGTTTTCCCAGCCCTGCTCTGCTCCGGGCTGCTGTGTGATCTTCTCTTCCCAGAGACAAAAGGGTCCAGCTGTCATTTTGTTTTCTGGGCCACACGATCAGCCTGTGTATTTTTTGTTTTTCCCGGGCATTTTTATGAGGGTTTTTTTTTGCACTGCTGTTGGTGAATGTCTGGGTGTGTGGAGGCTAGGTTTCTGGGAATTCATATCTAGCATTTATTCAGTCTTTTTCTGTGCCTTATGGGCATCCTCCTGATTTTTTTTTTTGTTTGTTTGTTTTGTTTTGGTTTTTTGTTGTTGTAATAAGCAGGTGTTTTGGGGTTTTTTTTTCACTGTCACCTGCTGTGAAATAAATTTCATTTATTGTTATAAATGAAATTAGAATTTCGGCAGCTAGGTCCCTTGAGTTAATAACAGTTTAATTAAAAATTTATACAATTTAGTAAATTGAATAGTAATTTGGTATAAAAGGATACAGTTTAGTAATAGAATACAATTTAGTAAAAATTACAATTTATATATATAATTTGCCAGTAATTAACTATGATTAAAGCATAACCAAGACTGACTGGAGTACGGGGAGGGCTTCTCACCCCACCTCACATACATAACTGACTGGGGTACGGAGGCTTCCCACCCTGCATCACATACAAAACAAGACACTTCAAGCTAAACTTGTATACTGTATGCTTATACATATTCATTACTGTTTCCTGTAAGTTTCCTCCTATTTCAGATTTTTCTGATTTTACCTCACTATTCTTCACAGCGCACGCTTCACTTGTTGTTAGGGGGTCTTCAGTCTTCTTTTGGTGGTCTTTTGGCAAAGGCTTCTCTTCCTCTTTGTCTTTTGGATAACCTTACAGGTTTGCCCCTGTGTACTATGTGTTATGTTATGTTAGTCTACTCACTGGTCTGATATTTACTGATTTTTAGGCCCAATGCCTAAAGTGGTTCTAATTTTGTCCATCTCAAGGCTGTTTTCATCTTGGGACACCACTTATCTTCTAAACTACATCCTGTACCTCAGTTTTAACCCGTGACATCTGTAAAGGGATGCGTTATAAATGAGTAGCCAATTTGATTAATAAAAAATAATTTATTAAAAAATACAATCGTGAAAAGTCATAAGCAAAATTCAGTTTGATGCTGTAGCAGGCAAACAGCGTCGGGTGAGGCAGGGAAGGGCTCTCTGGCACTGCTTCACCATGCTTCACAAACTTCAACTGCCTCTAGGTGCTTTTATATGTTTTCAGGTTTTTTGGGGGTCTCTTGGAATACACTCCTTGTAGACAAATATTCATGTTGTTCTGGGTGTATATGTTGTAATCTTGTCAGGTTTCTTGGAAATACACTTCTTCCAGATGAATATTCATGAGTTACAATCTTACAAGACTGAGGTTTCTTGACCATGCATGCTCCCTGCAGACGCATATTCATGTTGGCCTTGCTGCATATCACTAGAATCTCGTCAGAGAAGGTTTCCTGGAAATATGCTAGGAATTTTATCAGACAAGGTTATAACTTCAGCACAAATTTATTTATGTTATATACATAATATATACAAATACAAATATATACAAATACAGGGTGTATCTGCCTTGTAATACTGATTCTTTTGATTGCTTGCAATAATAACTTTAATAACAGTTACAATTTAGTTAGCAGGAATCAATTCCTTTTATTACAGTATCAATTTCTCTCATAGGCAGAAGAAATAGGAGTTAACGGAAGGGCTTTTTCTCTTTAGATGAGACGTTCATTCCAGGGTGTTGTCTCCTGAAATTTATCTCCAAAACCAAAACGGTATTATTGATCCACAGCCTCTTAATTAGAACAAATTCTTTCTGGGTAACTTTTGCCTTGCTTACCCTCCCCTAGACAGGAAGCTGAACGGTTTTATCACCACTGGGAATTTACTATTGCTTCACTTAGTTCATAGGACAGCCAAAGTCATTTTGACTGATATTTAGAAACAAATTCAGTTCTGCTGAGACATCACTGTTGAATAGCACTTGCGTAATGACCTGCAAATAAGCCATCTAACCCATTGGATCAGATGAGCTTCTAAAGAAGTAACTGCTTGTTAATTTTCTAAAAAGTGGTGATACATTATAATGAAACTTATAAATCCATAGACGTCTCACAGCATCAGTTACCTTGTAAAAACAACAGATGCCTGATCTGTGGGTATGTTTCTGTGTAGAAGTTATTTTGCCAATGTTTTATTTTCACATGACAGTTAAAAGGGTGTAATACGTGTTCACTGCTACATCAGTAGTTAGAAGTCCTTATTTTGGAAGGCAGTGCTAGTGTCCATCTCTGTAATTTCTAATTTTTCAGAGTGAAAATAAGGCAACACT